GCACAAAAGCTGAAAAAACATGATCTACAGAGCGATCACCAAAATCAACTTTCTAAGAAGAAACAAAATGTTTGGATCAGACAGATTAATTTATTCTAGAAATGCTACTCATAAAGAATTTAAGGATTCTTGTTCGACGAGATCGATGAGGACGGCAAAGATTTGACTAAACCCTAGGATGTACTTTTTTGTAGTGATATTGGCCTTTTTAAATCAAGGAAAACAGTTCAGACGAGAAACTGTTAGATCGGCATGTCAAGTTCTAAGTTTTTGGGCAATAGAACCTTTGAGGGGAAAAGATTTGGCAGAACAAAGGATAGTTTACTTACTATGGCAAGTAGTGATTGGAGTTAGAGATCAGAAGACGAGAGCTTCCTAAATATTTTTAAGTTTACTTGATTTGATAAGGCGATGTTCTCAAATACGTCGTTTTCAGTCATAGGAATGCACTGCTATGCCAAATTGAAGGGTGCCAGTTTTTTATTTGTTGAGGACTGCGGAAATTGACTCCAAAGCTTTGTCAACGATAAAAAAACATCGTATTAACTCGTCTAGTCTGAGGAAGCCCAATAATTTGAATCTCCAAGATTGCTATTTTAGACAAATAGTGGGCAATATACTTGTGTAGTATATGCAAAGTGAGCATTTCTTTAGCTTATTGATTCTGGCTTTAGTGCTGTTACCACGCATGGATGAAAATCTTCGAGTATAAGTGCTAGGCAAAAGGAGCCGGCGTGTCGCTGTGGTGAGGCTAGTGGCATTGATTCAAAAAAGGCTCTATTTGCTTGCTTGTTGGTAGCATTGTATCTGCTAGGCTAGATTCGAGTGTTTTTTTTTTTGTTTTTTGTTTTTTTTTTTGTTTTTTAGGGGACTCTTAGAAAATACCTTTTCATTAGTTTCAATAAAATTTTTGTGGAATTCTTATTAAAAAAAGTGATATCGAATTCTGTGATGTGCGGTTTGCTTTTTAGTGATGCCAGGTTGACGTGGATACTTAGTTTACATTGTCTTTTGCTTGTATGAAACGAATGAGTAAATCTCTTCAGTGTTTGTTAATGGACACTGGAACTGTAACACTGGTGGTCCGACATAATTTCGTTTTACTTGCACCTCTCTGGGTCTCGTAACTGCAAAGAATTCTAAAAGATTGGTTTGGCTTTTTAATTTTTGGTAGTCATTTTTTGAATTTAACTGAAAAGCGCCAGCTAACACTGTTTGTGTATCCTTAATTGTTTTATTAGGAATTTTTCTACAATATATTGACTGTCTTTGACATCGCAAATTAATATAGCTCTGGCATGGTTCTGGAAATCTATTTGCTGTGGTCAAAGAAGTGGGAATGGTCTATTTAATACTGTTCACAAAAACTGTTACCAGAACAGGCCCTGCTCAAATTCAATTGACTTCCGGTCAAGTTATTTTTAAGCTAATTTTACATATTTTATTCTGCGGCAAATAGCAATCAAAGGAAATTATTTAATTCTGCATGACTTTAATCAGGGCATTTTTGTTAGAGAGTAGACTTACCAATGAAGGACGAAAAGATGCTATTTTCACTTATTTCACTGTGCTTTCGAGCCCTCTTTCAAATAGACTGCTTATGACTGAGGTTCGGCAGCTTTTCGATCTATGGCACTGGTTGTGAAATACGGATTAGATATTCCTAACTGTTTGCAGCTTTCTACTAATTACTCTGTTCGCTTAATTTTCCTCTGCAAAATGGTTATGAAAGAAGAACGTTGGATAATGGTTTTTTTTTTTT